GCCTGGGCGCAGCGGGCCGCGGGAGAAAGGCAGCCGCGGAGGCACGCGCCGGAGCCCGGATCGGGGTCACTTTGGTCGAGTGAGCTGCTCGCTTGGGGGCTCGCTGTGGCGCCCGCCGTGCACACCCCTGCTTGGGGAGGAAGAGTGTTGCGACTTGTGCAGAGAAGCAGTCTGTGTTGGGAGATCGCTGGAGAAAATGTCCATGGATCTGGGCGTTGTGCAGCGGTGTCAAATGGGCGCCTTTCCTACGGGGCTGGAAAAATAGTCATCTCAGGCAGCTTCTTAGAAAGCTAATTCCTAAGAACCCCCCCCCTTTTTTTTTTTTTTTTTTAAAAGAAACAGGATCTTGTCACGCTGGCTGGAGTGCAGTGGTGCCAGTCGCTCACTGCAGCCTCGAACTTTGGACTCGCGCCACCCTCCTGCTTCAGCCTCCGGATTGCTGGGACTACAGGCACGTGCCGCTATGCCTGGCTGATCTTTAAAAATTTGTGGAGACAGGGTCTCGCTATGTTGCCCAGGCTGACCTCGAACTCCTGGGCTCCAGCAGTGTTCTCATAAAAGTTTAATGTTTTTATGGCAGCAAACACTGCTTAGTTTGGCAGATGGTATTGGAAAAACTCAAGACTTTGAGCGGTAATAGAGGAAAAGAGGGATTTCTGCTGCTTTATCTCCATCAAATACTTTGCTGTTTAGGAAGCAGCTACTCCATGAATGCGAAATTGAATTTATTGATTGGTGTAGAAATGGAACAAGGAATACAACTTAAGATAACTAGTCAAACTTTTTCCGGGTTTTTTTTTTTTTTTTTGAGTTGGAGTCTCACTCTGCCACCCAGGTTCCTGCTAGGCTCAGGTGATCCTTCCGCCTCAGCCTTCCAAGTAGCTGGAACCACAGGCATGCACCACCACACCTGGCTTATTTTTTTGAGTTACTGTAGAGACAAGGTCTCGCCAAATTGCCCAGGCTGGTCTCGAACTCTTGAGCTCAGGCAGTCCTCTTGCCACCGCCTCCCAAAGTGCTGGGATTACAGGCATGAACCTCTGCGCCTGGCTTTTTCTAGGTTTTGAGTAAGCTTAGAGCTGAAACTTTAGGGTAGTTGTTATGTCTGTTAATATAAAGGATATTTTAGCTTTTCCCCCCATCCAGTATGGAATCCAGTCTAGAATCAGTTATTGCATTAAATTGTTATGTCTCTTCAGGCTCCTTTATTCTGGACTTATTCTACAGCTTTTCTTGGTCTCCTATAAAATTAACATTTTTTGAAGACTGTAGTTCTCCCACCTTTTATTTTATTTTATTCAATTGACATATAAAATGGGCTTTCCTTTAGGCATGCAGTTATTTTTAATTTTAATACATACATTGACTTGTGTAATCACCAGCACAATCAGGTTACAGAAAAGCTGTATTATCCCCTAGACTCCCTCATACTAGTCCATTATAGCCACATTCTCCTTCCATTCCTAATTCCTGGCAACCATGGTCTGTTCTTCACCACTATAGATTTGTGCTTTCATGAATATCATATAAATGGAAATAGACAGTATGCAGTCTTTTGAGACTGGCCTCTCACTCAGCATAATGCCTTTGAGATTCATCCAAGTTGTTGCATTTATCAATCACTTGTTTCTTTTTATTGCTAAGTCATTTTCATTGTATGGATATATTACAATTTGTCCATTAATTACAGGACATTTGGGTTTGTTTCCAATTTTGAGTGATTATAAATAGAGGCACTATAAATGTTAATGTACAGATTTTTGTGCAGTTTTTATTTCTCTAGAATAAATACCTAGGAGTGAGATTTGCTGGGTTCTATAGTAGCACCTGGAGCAGTGCAGTCTCAGTAGCTTGATTCTGGTTGGTTTCATCAGAGAACGGGCCCTTGTGTGGGCTTCTACATGAAGTACCCCAAAAGTTTAATCAGTAGCTGTAATTTGTTTGCACAGTTCACAGCTCTATAGAGGGGTATCTTTAATCTGCAGTCTGCAGTTTTCAGAGTGGCAGACTGATGGCTATACCGTTGGCAATAGCCCAAGCGTCAGTAAATGTACAGCCAAGCTCAAGTGGAGAATCGACCAGAGCTTTGACAAGAGCCCCTTGTGCTTCTTCCTTTGAGTGGAGATGCGACGTCTGTCTGTGGTTCTGCAGAGCTGGCAGTCATGTTGAAAAGCCGTTGCAGGCTAGTAGAAACCATGCAGTTTCAGCTTAGCTAAGCCGGGCTCAGGATTTAGGGGAATCTTTGTGAATTGAGGGCCCTAGTGAGCTAGTGAAATGATTCTCATGGCTGGGGGTAAAACTTTCCCCAAAGAAATGGCTGTCATACTAACATGTAGAGTCCAGATGCCTTTGGGGCCGGACCAACTGTGTTCCAGAATATACCACGTTCATTTGAAAAGCAAGGTTTTGTGGGCCTTTTTGCATTGTTTGTCTTAGAGTCTGAGTTGAGTCACCCCAAAAGAGGACTATCAGGGCAGAGATTCATGTGGCCTCCATGGGTCAGGCATTCAGTTTTGACCAGGGCTCTGTAGCTAGCTAAAAGCTGCTTTTCAAAGGGATGTACTTGGCAGCCATGCTAGGAAGGCGATAATCTGAAACCCCAGGGGTACTTCCAGGTGGAGGCTGCCTCCCTTCACTAGAAGCTCTCGACAGAATCATCAGTCACAGAGACTTTTGGCTTAAAGGGGCATGGACCCACCAAGGTAGTAAGCATGCTGCAGCTGGACAGCTTTCAGTGAAGCCTTTTGTTTTGTACCCCGCTCAAATAGTACCCACTTATGAGTTAGCCCATAAAAAGGACCAAGTGGAATGCTCAGATGAAGCAAGCTCTGTGTCTAGTATCCAAAGAGCCCAGTAGGCTCTGGGCCTCCATCTTGGTGGATGAGAGCAACAGGTAGCGGTCTTTCCTTTGCTTCCAGAGTGATTGAGAGGTGTGAGTCCACTCAAATAGTCCGTGTAGTTCCAAGAAATGTGTTATCAGGCCCCTGAATTTGTTAGGGTTATCAGCCACTCCTACTGGCAGAGGTGTGGAAATACTATATTCAGGGCCATTGAAACCAAGGCTTGCCAACCAACAGTACACTGCTCTGTGGTGATGCTTTGGACGTCAGAGGGGAGAGGCATTTGCAACAAATCCTGACCCACCCACTGGTTGCAAGTGGCAGGTGAGGTGGTCTCAGTAGTCCTTTTTTAAAATGAAGTCCCCTCTGGCACTTATGGGACAGTGAAGTAAAATCATATCATTCAGTAGCAAGGCAACAAACAACTGTACATTGAATTAAGAAAAAGGGCCCTCCCGTGTGATCACTTTAGCTTTCCTCTCCCACTGTGAACCCTGTACTGTCCCAGTTAGCTGAATTTGGGTGGTGCCTTGGATGTCTTTGTCTTGTTTTGTGACTGTGGAATCACAGAATTTTAGTTCCTTGCTCTTGAGGTTACATAGCTTATTAAGATGGGTGTGTAAGGACTTACATCTGTGCCTCTTGCAGAAAGGGAGACTTCTGCCCAGAGCCTAGTCAGCTTTCTTTTTAAGCTGGAGAGAGAATAGAGGCAGAGGCAGGGATCGGTGCTTCAGAGGGAGAGAGTGGCTCCTTATCAGTAAATGAGGCATTATGTTACATTTTGTTTTGGGCAGAGTGGTAACTGCTTAGAGGCCCAAATGAGGCTGGACTCGGTGACGCAGCCTGTAATCCCAGCACTTTGGGAGGCCGAGGCGAGTGGATTGCTTGAGCCCATGGGTTTGAGACCCGCCCAGGCAACTTGGCAAGACCTATCTCTACAATAAATCAAAAACTAGCCGGGCATGGTAGCGCGTGCCTGTAGTTCTGGCTACTTGGAAGACGGAGGCAGAAGGATCGCCGGAGCCCAGCAGGTCGAGGTTGCGGTGGCCGGGAGCGTGCCACTGCACTCCAGTCTGGGCAACAGAGT